TATATATATATGTATGTATGTATGTATGTATGTATATACTATATAAAAATTTAGTAATGATAATGCAGTTATATTGTAATTGTTAGAAAGTAACGAATATATAATCGTTATTTTTTCGTTTTAGGTACTTCGTGTAGAATACAACTTTCTCAATCCTGAAATTATATCTAAATATTTATTATAATTAGAAAAAAAAATAATTTATAATGTTTTCATTAATTCCAGATAATTGACGTCATAATTAACATTGTGTTTGCGAGCACAGTATACTTTGCAGACCCAAGTGCATTAAAGGATACATTAATAAATACGTTACTTGTGGCGCAACCGACTATTTTCCTAGGAGTGCCCAGAGTATGGGAAAAGATATATGGAAAAATGCAAGAGAAAACGCATAGTGTAATAAACACATGGATTATTAAATGGGCAAAAGAACAAGCTCTTCATTATTATACGAATAAAATAAATGGCATAGATTACAAACATTGGGGCTACATTGTTGCAAAATGGCTTGTTTTCAATAAAATCAAGGCAGCATTGGGTTTAAATAAATGTTACATCTATTTTACCGGAGCAGCACCTATTAATATCGATATTAAAAGGTATTTCTTGAGTTTAGACATACCTTTAATAGAGGTATATGGAATGTCTGAATGTGCCGGGCCTCAAACAATAAACGACTTTAAATATAGGTAAATTGCAGATGCTTTTATTATTTATACTGAATTTATAAAAATATTTAAAACTTTTAAAATATACTTTACAATGTTTATAAAATATATTATTTCTTATATGTTAGCATGGTTGGTGTGGGAAAATCTTTACCTGGGCTATATATAAAATTAGACAATATAAATGAACATGGTGAAGGAGAAATTTGTATGAGTGGACGACACATATTTATGGGTTACTTAAATGCACCGAAGCAAACCGAAGAAGTCAAAGATAAAAGTGGTTGGTTACATAGTGGTGATCTTGGCAGATTAGATTCAAATGGGAATTTGTTTATTACTAGTAAGTATTTGTTTTATGCCTATTAACATGTAGGGTTGAATAATAATTAATTAAAACATTAAAAGTTAAAAAAAAAGTTAAAAAGTTAATAACTTTTAACTTAACTTAGTTACTTTTAAATGCATTAAATTTTAACTTAACCAAGTTACTTTTAAACGTTAACTTTTTAACTTTTTTTTAAGTTAAAAATTTTTTTCTCTCTTTTAAATATCTTAGAAAAATAATAAGATATAATAAGACTAAGTAATATACTAATGTATATTCGTAATCTGTTCATTATTCATTTTAAGACCATCTTAAGTAATTTCTTAAGTAATTTCTTAAGATGCTAATACAGCTCTCTGATTAGTTTATGCGGTTATGCTTTATGCCATAATCCGGATCTACAATAGGTGTTTAAGCATTAAGTCATAAGAAATTAATCAATTACAGTCAAATATTCTTCTCGCATTCGATTGTAATTAGTCAATTTCTTATGGCTTAAGACTTATTAAAAAGACTTATTAATCACTGATCTTGTATCTTCTATATGTGTTGGCTGTTTTTTTAAAGTTATATAATTTATATAGTTATATCATTATATCATTATATATTATATCGTGTATAATTATATTATATCATTATGTGTTATATACTTATATCACATATGAATAAAAAAATTAAAAATTTAATTTACTTAATAATCTATATTAGTAGTTATTTAATCTCATTTTAAGAAAAATTAGGACATTTCGATCTAAAAAATATTTTTTTTCAAAATTAACTTTTTTTTAACTTAAATTAATTCAATATTGACTTAACTTACGTTAAATTACATATATGTATTTTATATATGTACTTTTTACTTTTAACACATTCACAGGTAGACTAAAAGAACTTATAATCACAAGTGGAGGGGAAAATGTGGCATCATACAATATAGAGCAAGCAATATTGTCGGAATTATCATATTTAAGTAATGCCATAGTGATTGGAGATCAAAGGAAATATTTAATAGTCCTTGTCACACTTAAGGTACTATGCAAGAAAATAAAAAAATATAAATTTGAAATTATAAATATCCAAATACGTTTTTTTTTTCAGAGTAATATGAATGAAGAGACTGGCGCGTCATTGGATACGCTGGCGTCAGATGTATTAAAATGGGCACAGTCTATTGGTAGTAGCGCCAAAACAGTTACAGAAGTCATAAACTCTCGTGATGAAGCCGTAAGTTTTAAAAGTGACTTATATAATTAATATTATTTAACATTGTGCATAAATAAAAAATTTATTTATTTATTTTTTAAGACGAATTAAAATCGAACAAATAAATACGAACAATATCATAAATAAACAACTTATTATACATACTTTAAGACTCCTGAATAATCACCACAGTCATATTGAATCGTGAAGCGAGAAATGACACGTTAATTTTTATTACGTGCCATTTGTAAATAAAAACAATTTGAATAAAACAAAAGGATGAAATAGTTTTAAAACAATTGTAAAAATGGATAAAAAATGACTATCCTTATCCCACCCAAAAATGCTTTTGATAATTCAATATGGTTATGTTAACTGATAATTACTCAGAAGCCTTAATAAATGCAAACGACATGGTCTGTGGCAGCATTCGTCTTTATTAATTTAATCTAGATATTTAAATATTAAAATATGTTTCTTTTAGATATATGGAGAAATCGACAAGGCAATTAAGAGAGCAAATATGCAAGCTATAAATAATGCTCAAAAAGTACAGAAATTCGAAATTCTTCCTCATGATTTTTCGATTCCAACCGGTGAATTGGGACCCACTTTAAAACTTAAAAAGAATGTAATTCAGAAGATGTATGCTGATTTAATAGACAAAATGTATAGTAGATAAAATTCTACACTGTCATAATAATATTAATAATACATTTTCGCAATATGTATAGTTACTTAAAGATTAAAGCTTATCAAGAGAATTTCATGAATGAAATTCATTTATTTATTAAGTGATCAATACAGATCGCATTAGTTGAAAAGTCACGAATTATATTGGGCAAACATTATGCAGCCATTTAGTAACATGAAGCACTGGAATGATGAAACGTAAATGTAAATCGCATTATAAAAATAATGGCTGCGCCCGAACTGTTTGGAGAGTTTTGTCATCACTTTTATCTTCGTCGTCACAATATTGTATCATCAATTCATCAGTCCGTACAATTCAAACTTGGATTCGCAAGTTTAAAGAACAATCTTAACATGAAAGAAGACAAATCATATGAACAAATGTAGCCAAGAATCGTGATAATGAAAATAAAAGTGGCGGCGAAATTTTTTACGAGCAATTTAGATATTGTAATCATTATTTTTAGCGATTTCATACATATATATATTACTTATCATTCCGATGCTTATATTTATTAAATAACATCGAGGTTCTACACTAATATATGCTTAATCCTATCAACATAAATGACTCGTCAATATTGCAAAAAATTTCCAGTTTTTTGTACATCTTATATATATTATATATACATAATTTAGTTCAATTTATATTATATATATATATATATATATAAATTCATCGTATTATTATAAATATATTTCAATATATACAAATATAATAAAAATTTTGCAATAATTCTAAAAATAAACTTATATTTTTAGCCTACCTAAATATAAATTTCTTTGCACAATAAATATAAAAATATTTTTCTCAATTTATGTTGAACTTTTTTTTATCATATATCATAAAAAGATGTCAAAATAAAAAAATTTTGACAATATTTATAATTATATAATATTATTGGAATGAAAAGTAACGTAAATTATTGCAATGGAAAGGTAAAAATAAATAACAGAAAAGATTTTATAATTGCAATATATTACTAAATGTTTACAATAAGCAAAACTGTAGTTATGTTTAAAATTTGTGTGTGTGTGTGTGTGTGTGTTTGTGTGTGTGTGTGTGTGTGTGTGTTCATACTACATATTTTTATAGTAAATACGGCTTTTCATAAGAAAATAGTCTTAATAAGAGCGCATCACAGCAACTTTGGAAATGCAGATCTGTATATCTTCTTACTCTCAATCTTATCATGCACAAGTGGATTATACTCGAATTATCATGATTATATATCATCAAGATAAGTTTTCCTGTTCTTATATATTTATTATTTTACTCTCAATTATTTATCTCACATTATCAATATAAATTTTTATACATGTGCATGTAGAATGCATAATTATTGCTGGTTAACAATGTATCTTAAATACTTGTGCAATTTTTAATTCTTTAATTGTAACTCTCAGATAGAATTATAATTTTCAAAGTAAAAATATCTAGCAGATAATTAAGAAGAACATAATGTCAAAGTACTGATACTTAATTAATTCCATATATAAAATAGCATTATGGTAGATACGTATACAACATTGTTTTCAATAATATTACAGATCCTGTTTTGAGAATAAGCGGCTAAAAATTAATTGGTTTTCTATATATAAAGACATGAGAATTTTATGGTACTGCAAATATTTTTTGTGAAAGATCTTCAAAATATTTTTAAGCATAAGCCTCCAATATTATATAAGCCTCCAATTATTTATGAATGTACCATATTACTCCATGATCCGAACATAAGGTTAATTAACAATATGTATTTTTAGAAGTAATATTTAGAGAAGTTGTACAGATTTATGATGTTGATGTATTGAATTTTTGTTGGATAATAGATGTTTTTCGCTGTGGTACTGTTTCTGGTGTTGGTATAGCATCTCCTGTTGGCAAAACACCAGCTGGCTTTGGCTTAGCTGTAGACTTTTGTTTTGCCATTTGATAATCCCCAGAATCAAAATATTTTTGCTGAAAACATTGAAATTATGAATCATTTCAAGAAATCAAAAGATTAAAAAGAATAAATGATTGTTTTTATAAAAACATTGAAACTCTATACGATAATTAGCAGAATTGATATTTACCCCTTTGGCTAGCCTTTTTTGCAAAAATGCAGAATGACCACCAAATGGTCGACCAGCTGCATTTGGAAACTTTGCTTTTAATTTTTCTTCTTCCAATTTTTCTATAGCGCTCGACGACAGCTATAAGAAAATCTTCAATGAGGATCTATTGTTATACACGTACTGACTGTTGTACATGAACAAAATTTCATGTAAATAAAATTTTAATAAAGATTGTTTCTACTCATATATTTCCTAAATCTTCTAAAATCCATATTAATGTGTACAACATCATATATTTGTTTTATTGTCATACTAACACAGTTAGCATGAGTAAGCTATGAATAGATGTAGCTTTCCAAATATTTACATATAACAAGTGCAATGGAAGAAAGTTAATTCCAACACAATCAAATCACTTGTAATAAATGAACAATATACAATTTTCTAATAAAATAAAATGCTATTGCTCTCTCTGTTATGAAGTTCTGATAACTCATCGAAAGTACCGTCGCAGTTTCCAATTTTCTTAATACATTAATTTATACAATACTACATTATTAGTAAATTAATTCTATTTTCATAATAGGTCGTTGTCCGATTAATAAATCTCGGCAACTTGCCTCTGCAGTTGGGCTCTGCACATTCGTCTGATCGTCGCTCATCTTCGCAAATTTTGAAATGCCTCTCGTCAGCGACCGCTTGTCTTCCAACTAGTTATCTTTCGGATACTAATTTCGACACTCACGCATATAACATACATAAGCTAAGTGAGCGCAACGTAATAAACGGCAGCGTCTCTCAATCGACAGGCAGATTGTTTCTCCGCCGTATTCCCTACAAAGTGGATACGTGTACCACAGGAGTTCCGACGATTGTCAACGAGATTGTTTTCATACACGAACAGCAAAAACAGCGACGGCGTCACAGAGCCATATGTTCCCGGGTGACCGTTACCGACGTTCGCATGGCCGGTTTCCATTGCGCAGCAATTCAATCCGATTCTCATAGGACGACTCCGATTAATGAATGCGATTAGTTCAATATTATGAATTATTCTAGCAGAATTATTATTAATTAGACCAGTGCTATCCGAGTAGAGGCATGCTCACACACCCCACACACACCACACACACACCACACACACCACACACACCACACACACTACACACACACCACACACACACACCACACACACACACTACACACACAAATAATTTCAACGTTCCAGAAGGATACATGTATATATATTAAAAGTGACATCATAATAGCGCTAATTAATCTAAAATATGTCCGTTTCTATCTCTACCTATCTCTAAAATTATATCTTTCACTATTGTTTATATTATTTCTATCAATATTGATTTACTTTAATCTCTTATGTCCATTTCTAATGTTAATTTACTTGTTTACTTTTTTATTCTTTTATTTATCTATATTGGTAGAAATTTGTTCAGAATTACAAATCTTTGAATATCAAAATTTCTATATAACGTATCGTTATTATAATTGTCTCTGATCTAAATATCCTCAATCATATTGAATAACAAAAAATTGATAATTAATCACTGATTGACATAAGTTTTGCAGCTGCTTCATCGAAATCATCCACAGTAACAACTCCGAGTAAATTTGATTTGTATTGTTTAAAGTAATATTTTCAATTATAATTTATCGTTCTAATTTCTTAATTTTATCTTTCTTTTTGTGTAAAAAAAAAAATTTTAATTTAATTTATCCATGTTAACATATAAGATGATTCTTTTTTACTTAAAATTAATTAATAAAATATTTTTATTTGATAAATTAATTATTTGATAAATTAATTGTTGATTAAGTTAATTGCAATTTGGTCATTCTTGAATAAATCGAATTTTCACCATCAGATGCTATAAACATTAAATTGAGATCACGTGACTACGCTTTTCAAGTCTCATGAAATGGCACCTTTAAGATGCGTTCAACTTCGTGGAAATGTTCGTGAATCATCATTTTTTTTATCCTTCTTGTCATTAAATATTAAACAATTAAACGCAGCCAATCAACATGCTTGAAAAGCTTATCGTACGACAAAAAATAAATGAATGTAATATTAGCCTTTAGATCTTTGCCAATCTGCGACAATGGCGCCAGCTGATCTTTGATTTAGATTCCGCTATGTTCAAAGTGGACGGTGGTGTGTGATGGACGTGACTCGTCGCGCATTCACATGGTATACTTACGGCGACACAACAAGACGGTTCCAAAGCATTCCGGGATACTCACGGAGAGAGTGAGATACCATGAACACGTTAATTCACACCAAAATGATCGCTGGTCACGGTGGAGTAATTGTTCGACGTATGTGTCACCGTGCGTTATTTCACGTCCTATTATAAATCAGCGCGATTTTATGCGATAATTTTTTTATAATACTTGTTGAAATAAAAAATTTCATCATTATTATCATTACATTTATGTAACGATAGATAATACGTATTCTATCGTGAAATTAATGTATCCTATTTAAAATGTCAACGTCTCTCCGAATTCCTCTATCAAATATTCCATTACGATATAGTCACGTTTAAATCTAAAAAAAACGTGGGCTGATAGGTTATGTTCCCAATTTTTTTTAAATATAAATTTATATTTTTTGAAGAGTGTATTACCTTTTTTTTTGCTCCATTTTGCAATCATAAAAGATTTTGCT